TTAACTTCCATTGGAACTTTCCTTATCCATAATAACTCAAGGACGTAGAGGTCTGTTTTTCACTTCAACTTAAATTTATGACAATGGGAGTAGCAAGGTGGAATCAACTCCTTAATTTATCTAGTTTGGTACTTAATTGGACCGCCCCCACCTCCCTAGTCAATTTGTCGTACCACACGTTCTGTCAAAATTAAGTTAACAAGGCTCATTTCAAGCTACTTTTAGAAGCACATGTGATTATGAATTTCAACATATATGAAAAAACATATGGCTATTCATAAGTTTGAATTTTAGATTGATTATTAAATCCATTTGTTAACTTACTACTTATAGCACCTCAATAGCATGCTATTTAAAGAAGTGATTCGAAGATCCTAACTCTATTTCATTAGATCTATTGACGAAGCATTGAAAAAGCATACCAAAAATCTCAGAATTTATGCCAATACCGGACTGATTAGCTGCTATTCATAAAGACTGATATCAAGTTCAAAATCCTATTTATTTAAACAAAAACTAAAGTGGATAAAATGCCAATTTCATGAAAATTCTTACAATATTTAGAAATTATGAAACTTATCGAAATTTCATGCAAGGCAAGGAATAAAATTGAGGACAAAATTAAATCAAATTATCTAATTATTCCTTTGTCACAACAAGTGTTAACGCAAGTCATTTTGAAATCGGCACCAACATTGTCCCTACAAAATTGAACTCAAGGCTGACAATACCAAACCTGGATTGAATCTGAAAACTCATATGTATATGTTTTGGTACACATAAATAAAAGTCATTCTTTCGGATTTAATTAAAATTCTAAATTCCTATTAATCTCCAAAATCTAAATGATTGCATTAAGTGTGAGTACATATGTTAGTAATGAAATGGAACTGCAGTGTGTATCATGCTGAAACCGATATTGGGCGTTTGGTCAAGGCTATTCGTTGTCCCGATGCCATTTTACGTTTAACTTAATAACAACGGTTACGAATTCAGTCCTGCAGAAACCTATTTTAAGTTGAACAAGCAACTTAAGAAAATAGATCGCTCGCAAAATGAAATAAAATAAAAGTGCTGCCCAGAAAGGTTTGCTACATTTAGAGTTATTAAAGCAAAACGTTACTTTGCACATTCAGTATTATCGCTTAAAAATATTTCACGTGCTTATATGCTTCTGATTAGAAGCTTATCCTCCTAATTAAGTGATGCCAATTTTATAACGAACGGACACAAAAAAGTGTTAAAATGGTAGGTGAACTCCCACAACACTCGCTATTGGTCAACAGACAGTGCCTCTAAATGGTACAAAAAAAGGCGTTTTATAAAGTTTAAGCCCTTAGGATTGCAGGCTTTAACCTATTTGATGATACCGTGAATTCTAACGCGCTTGTATCGGAATTATTGCAAAGCAGGAGGCGAAGAAAGTAATAGATGATGCTAAGGCCCATATTTTCCACTTCTTAATTGCATTCACTCATGAAAGCATGAATTTGTGCACAAATTCATCTTAAAGTTTGTCAGCTGTGTTTCCCTTGGTTACACAGAGACTTCTTTGAATGTGCAAAGCTTAGCAAAACGTTTTTCGAGATCGTTTTAATAGCCGGGCGAAATAAAATCTAATTCATTATTAAGAGAAAAGGACTGAAATCAGGGGAAAAGATAAGTTGGCGCATACAACACTTTTTCCATTTTGTCTATCTCACTATTTACCAAATGGGTAGTTCATATCTCGAAATGCGAAATTGTTGATTTGTCTTAATGACTCCCCTATTTGATTCGTCGTAGTTAATTTTGCCACTTCAGTTCGGACTTTTTCTTCCAAGGATTCGAAACCCAGGTTGTTCGCACATAATATAAAACAGCTTTTATCACCTGAGTTGTCATTTGAAGTTCTTGTAGAAGAAATCTACTGAGACAAAAAGCTAAAGCGTACTGTCGTTATATGCTAAATTCATTCTTCTTTATTTTTCACTATAAGAACAAGTTATATTGGTTCGGTAATTCAGATGGTGGGGGTTATGCAGCTTTTTCTTCCAACCTGGTTAATTTGAGTATACGATCTCAAAATCAGTTAAATGAATTTGAACTGGATGAGGTTAAAAAGTAAGCGTACAAAACACTATTCCCCCTGATTATCTCAGAGGTTAAACCTCAATCAAACCCTTTGGTTTCTAACTGACCAGAAAAAGTTAAATTCTCTTGATCAACTTCAATTGTCCTCTCTCAATTTTGATCACATGCCGCACCACCAAAAAGGCGTTCACAAGGGGAATTGTTCGCCCATTTCAAAATTATCAATAACAAAACCGAAAATAGATTTCCAAATATAATATAAACACTTTAAAACAGAGCTGATAATAGTAAAATTACCTCCACGTGGTGCACCCTGGGCAACGTATGCTCAAACGGCAAAAAAGGCTATTAATCGGCAGTTGACGTCTGACTTCAAACTACTATGACCCGACTGTTTGTCATATACGACCTCTTCAACAGTACTTACCTTACCTATTCTATGCCTTTGCGTCTGTCTATCTCTTTTACATCTGTGATTCATTAATCTGTCCCCCCCCCTCGACTTTTTGTCACCTCGGTGTTCCTCATCCTCTCTGTGAAGCCCGAAGTCAGCTAAAGAGCTACTGATAATTGTCTAAACGGCTGCCATTTGAAATAAATAAATAACCTTTGTATACTTAATACATTATGGCTCCAGACAATTGAAATGCTAAATGTCAGCTATTTGCTGGTAAAAAATTTTATTAACTGCTTATAAAATTTACAAGCACTGAGTTGATTGAAAGAAGCGTATAATATCGAAGAATAATTTTGCCACTTATGTGACTGTAATAATCTGTAATGTTACTTGCTAATAAACAGTAGCATGTGTCAAAGCGCTTTGTCGATCTGAAATTTAACAGGTGGTCATGCTCGCTGATACATGTCCACAGAGAGCGCTCACAGGACATGTGTTTCCCAATATGTTTCTATTTTTAGCCCTTTTTCGTTCACAATACAATTCGTGATTGATTCCAATCGCAGTTAAGTTAGTGGAAGTGCTTATTAATTGTTATCATTGTGAAACTGTTCTAGTAACAGTTGAGAAAGAGAATTATGGTTAGCAACCACTCTGAGAACAAGTGAGTTTCCTTAACTTGACAAGACACAAGTGTGCAATTTGAAATTAATTGGAGGAGGGAACAATTTGGTTCGAACTGAGGAGTCATCAGTATTGAGAATGAGGAAAATTAAAGTTGTGAGGAACAAAAAAGGGCTATATTGAGCTTAATTGGATTTGACGGTTAGGTCGGATGCATGAGAATATAGTCGGGCAATGCCATAGAGCGACTAGGCAAATCGATGGGATTTAAACCCTTAAAGCATTGTATTGCTCAGAAAGCCATCTGTCAGATCCTTTAATTTATATTTCAAGGTATGGCATAGACCGACCGATGTCTTTCAACACATTGAAGATCTTAATCAGGAGAGAATTCAAGATTTCAAGGTGCAACGAACTTAAAACTCGAAAGAAGGAGAAGCAGTGAACAGTGGCACTCTCCGATATAACCGAGTGGCCAAGAATCGAAGCTGTTTCAGAGTTTAGACTAAGTACCAAACACGATTGCCTGGCGAAGCACCTTCACAGAAAAGTAGAATACGCTAAACCATCATGCCCACCTACGTGACTTACAGGAGGAAATGGAGAAGACCCATCTGATTAGGTGCCCAGCACTAAAGACAATGACGGAAACCCAGAAGACAACTAATGAACTATTGTTAACTATCGTAAAGCCTAGATATATATTCCACCTCCTTTGTAAAAGCCGAAATCAACTAAGGGGCCAATTTTAAATATTATCAAGCCTGCCATCTGGAATAATAATAATAATATTTCGAGGCATTAGGAAATATCAAAATGAGTGAGTGTTAGGGCTTCCACGATTCAAAGAAGTCTCATGTTACCCCCCCTCCCCCCAAATTTCTTCTGAAATTTTATGTAAACCTTCCTCCTATCTGAAGTGCAGATGCCTTTCTAAGATGGAAATTAAAGCGAGAATTTCGATTCGATTTGAGTGATAAAATTAGTTAGAACAAATTTTACTAACCAATCTCGTGATCAAATATTTTCATTCCGACATCGCATTCTTCTTCGACGGTGACATTGTAGGAAATGGATGCCGCTAATCTTATTTTCAAGCAGACGTTGAATAATTTGCGTGATTGTCATTGTCAATGTCAGTTATGCCCTTGATCACGCTTTATGCTCTTCTATCGTGTGGACTAATTTCAACAAACTAGATCGATTATCATACTGAATAGAAGAGCGTTTTATTTCGCACCAATGCTCTTTGATTGAATCAGTTAAATTCGTTATTAACAGTAGGAAATTGATTGACCTACCTCTTCATCAATGTTCATCCTCCCTATCCGAATACCTCCATTAATTTCATTAGTATTCATTTTAATTGGCCGAAAAAAAAGAATCTGACTATTAACACTTTCTTGCCTCTGGTCTTTTTGTGACATTCTTAAATTTAATATGTTCTTTTAAGTAATTTTGGCCTGTTTCATTCAATAATTTAGCATCATTTCTTAATCGTATCTCCATTCAATTTCGCTTTACTGTTGCGCTATCTCCGATTAAATGTTTAGCAGTAGATTTCATTAATATTTTTTTTATTATAATAGAATTTTAATTACTCACCTAAAATGAGTCCCCTAGATTGTGTAAAAAATTGATTGAGTACTTTGAGAAAAATATATAAAAGTTTCAGAATCTGAAAGATTTATTATTTTACTTTGTGGTTTCCTGTTTAATTAAGCACATAAGGATCAATCAATCAATGATCATGACCTTGCAACCCTCAGCATAGAATGCACACCTGTGCTGTGAAATACTACAATGTGACTGGCTAAGTGCTCAACCAATTGCAATTGTTTAGTAGAGTTGAGGACTCTTCTTTTCTGTGCGCCTTCTTTCTTCCTTTAGTTGACGCAACACCGCGATGTCTAATAATGAGACGCTGAATATGGATTCAGTAGTTAGAAAGCGAAGAAACGGATGCTGCGTTAATTACTGCGAAGAGCTGAATAGAAAAGTCTTCCAAAAGAAGCCCATTAGTATTGATTTGGGCCAACTTCTACGAACTCAACTCAATCGATGTCTACGTACGGTGGATCTAGTTGGTTATGGAATTGGTAAGAAAAAGTGATAGCTTGTAATAAGTATAAAATGTAAAAGTAGTACCAAATTTCTTCATCAGATTTACGCTCTATGTCCCTCTTTTACCGTATCAAACAATAAACTTTTGCTAATACTTATTAGATTCTCTATTTATACTCATTTGAAATTTTTCTAATAATATAACGCTTTAGTTAAAATGGATTTATAAATTTGAAGAATGTAAAACATAACTATTTGATAATACATACTTTGATCCTTATCAGTATTTAATACGAATTAAATTTTGTTTTTAAATTCATAAAAGTGCCATGTTTATGCATTTTTCATTGCAGCTTCTATGATCGGTGGAACTATATTCGTGTTGACGGGGACAATAGCAAGGTACAAATCGGGTCCGGCCACATTTCTGTCTTACATTCTGGCTGGGATGATCGCCACGTTGAATGCTGTGACATACGCTGAGCTCTCCTGCCGTTTTCCCAAGGTCAGTGCCAAGGCTCTTGATATTTAATGACGGGTTCTGATTAGACGTCGGTATCTCATCTTTCATTTCTTAAAATAATATCTCCAATGAATTGGCATTAGGTTTGCTTGATGAGTCCATAATGATCATGGCCTTTGGAAATGTACCCCAACCCAATAATATTTATGCATTTTTAGTCACCAACTTAGTTCAGTAAGCTTGTGAAATCAATATTTTTATATTGTTCTGCATCATCCCTCGGTTCATTTTAAAAGATTTATTTCTGAATCATTTTATTAATAACAACTGTAAGGCTCATTTAGTTATAAATTAAAGTTTAAATCAAGCCCACGCAGAATTGACCTAATTTAAGACCATATTTATCTTATTCCGTGCATGATACGGATCTCTATGCGATTAGCACAGCAAGGAATAAATGAACAATGGTGGCCATGTCTTATTGCCCCTCCCTGTATGGCGAATTTAAAATTGGGTAATATAATTTTTGGTTTAAAGCTTCCAAGTAAAGCGAATAAACAAAATTACTATCTAATTAGATAATAATAAGATTGAATTCTTCGCTCTAAATATTCCAAGTTAACTCGTTTTGCAATTATAATTCCCCTTGGATTTTTAATTGTCTCCAAGTTAAATATATTGAAGCACCTATCCAACGGACACTTAACATTCCTCGAAAAATATTGCGGAACAAGAGGATTAGTAAAATTTCAAATACAAAATGACCCTCTTCTGAGCATGTGTCTTTTAAATTATGAATTTCTGAAACAGTAGTGGCTTTCACCTGTAAATGATCAAGGATTTTTTCCATTATTGAATGAATAAGCCTCTATTAAGTAATCTCTTAATTAAACAAGGATATGTGCTTATCCAAACTACGCATTAAAAATTCACATCTAATATCACAAAACCGAGTTGATGCTTCACTCTGCTCCGTATCGCAGAAAAGAGAACCTTCCTCTTATTCGAGAAGGAGGGATAAAAAAGTTATCCACATTAAATTTATTATGTACACTGCTTAATGTCTTTGTATCCTTGGTGCAACAGAGTTTGGGAAAGCAGAAAAATAAATCAAGTAATAATGACGCTCTTGAGGTCTCAACTTAATTGAAATTGCTTTAACTTTGAGTTGAAAAAGAGATCATTTGCCCATGGAAGTACGTAAACGGAAATTGAGGCACGATTTTTTTGAAATCAGAAGGCTCATGTCACAATAGTTGATTCGATAAATTTTTCTAAGTTAAAAGTGAAAATAAACACCTAAAAAAGGCTTTGAAGTTTAGGCAAAAATTCGGCACTTCACGTCATCGCTTTGGTGTTTATGTACCCCTGTTGATGCAAAAGAGGTTTGTGTTCTTAGAATAAAAGAATTATTTGGTTTCAGAGGCATAAAGCCTTCATTTTAATCACCGTGGCAGAATGGAGAGATTTTGGTCTTGTGATGACTTGTTTACTGGTGCTTTTTGTTTCCTAGTCAGTATTGGCTTATTGCATAGTAATGCGTAAATTTAAAATGCATTTCCGTGAAAAATGTTTGGAATAAAAATTTTTGGAAGATTTTATACCCTCGAATGTCGAACCCCTTACTCCTACCATCATAGATATCTGGTAATTTGTAAAAGTCTTTTAGATTCACAAAGATCATCTCATCATTTTCATTCTCTATGTTGGCTATTCACTATATAAATTATTGACACTTGACATTCAGGCGATGTGAGGGTTCTACGCATACTTCCTGACTAGCTATTTGAAAATAATATTAAATCAAATGAATATCGACTTCAACAGGAAGCATGAATTGTGAAAAATTTAGTCAATAAACACCATACTTATTTATGGATCTTTGATTCTTACTAGACATGTAGACAATTCAATTAAAGTTTCTCATCAAATACATGACATTGGCTAGGTGTAGGCATCTGTCAATGATGCTTTCACCATGAAAAACTTTTAGGGCTTGAGAAATTTGAGGGTCTTGGTGCTGAAGCCAACGACTTCCAGAGAGTCACTACTAGCTTTTAATCTACACATGAATTTCTAATCCAAAAGAAACTCGTACATTTGCGTAAAACCATCCTGCATCAAGAACGTGAGTAGGAAATCACCAAATGATTTGCATATCGTCGTACTTACTGATGTTTCCTATAATAATAAAAGTTAAGGAGGTAAACAATAGTAAATGTAGATAATTAGGATAGTTTCTCCGCGTTTTTGCAGTGAAGGACGCAATCAATTAACTAGAGAGTTATTTAAGTGAATTTCTTAATGTGATAGAGCTACCAAATCATAAATTGCGCATTTTCCAAAGGAGCATTAAAATATTATTTGTTTTAAATAACGTATATAATCTAATTACTTTCACTATTTACAACAACTTCGCTTTACTCTACCATTTTTTGAAATCCCCTCTTGAAAATCTTTGTGTTTTCGTAGTAGGATACTTGTTCACATACTTTCAGAACTCAACCGCACTTCAAAATCATTTTTCTATGGGATGATGTTCCATTGACCTAAAAGGTGATGTTTGGATGAAGAGAGATCTGGCGAATGGGGGATTCATGAGAACCCTCTAATTTCATTTCTGCTATTTTCAGGGAATCCACTTACTTTTGTGGGGTGGGCATTGCCATATTAAAAGCTTATCCATTTTCTGTTAATTAAAATTGAACGTTTATTTGTACTTTATGGTTTAGTCGACCCAATTGTTAATAGCAAACATTTTGGATGAAATTGTTTAGTCCGGCTAATGAACTATTCCACATATTTTCCACCGAACGCGTGGAAGAAAGGTTAATCCTGGACCTCGAGAATAGAATGGGTGTCTGATTAGGATGCAACCAAACGCTGTCATCAACGATCCAAGTTTCTCGAATTAGTGACATTTTGGATCAAAAAAGACGACTTAACTGTCATGCTGGCGAAGGAAAAGCAGGTGTTTCCTCACTAATCCTAGTAGTACATGGTCGGCTGATCTGACTGGATCCAAATTCGCAACCGATTTAGTTTAGGCCTTACAAATTTAACAGTCAATTTAAAAAGCTTGAAAGGCCAAGGGTTTGAATGAGATTAAATTGGCGTTTTCGTGTACAAATTATTTGCGCTTACTGCTTCTTACTGTATTTGCCCGGTTCAAAGTTGCAAAAGTGAAGCCAGAAATGTTTTGACACCTCATTTCCCTAATTTGTCAGCTCTGTTATACTCAAAGTTCGATAAAAAATAAGAGTGAAACCGTGTATTTCGGGTTCAATGTATTATTGGCAGTAAAATGAGTTTTTTGAAAATTGGTAAAAGTAGATTGAGACACCCAATGCGTCCAACGAGGATGACAAACAAAGAATGTAGAAATAGTATGTTCTTTCGAGTGCGCTTGATGACAAAGGAAGTCATTATCTATCCCGATCAACAATAAACTTGAAAACAGCACGAGGAAAGTGATAATGAAAATATAACATTGAGGAGTAGAAACAAGTTCTGAGACCCTCAAATCTGGTATCTGAAATGTAAGCATGTGATCGGTCATAATGGCCCAGATCAATAATTGACATAGAAGTATGATTTGGACACAGGGGGTGTAGTGCATTGACTTAGCGCATGGCCAAGTAATTCAATTTTCTAATTTCGTTTTGTAAAGTCCTTTCTTTTGATTGCTGAAGATCTGGTTATTTATGGCAACAAAATGCGATCTACTTTCAGGCAGGATCAACTTACACCTATGTCTACGTTCTACTTGGCGAGCTACCTGGTTTCCTGGCAGGCTGGTCAATTCTCCTTGAGTATATATTGAGTATGGCAACTGTGGCCAGAGGCTGGAGTAGTTCTCTCAATGCCCTGACGGGAGAAGCCATCTCCAAATGGACGGAAAGAACTGTAGGAAGGTGAGTTTTTGAGAACCGCTAGTTTTTTAAACCTGCCAGCTTCTCCACGATTGAGACTGATGGTAGATTGGGGGAATACTTTTCCCTCTATAGTTGCTCAAATGCGAAATAAATCGTCTGTAGGCTTTCAATTTTATTCCAGCATGCTATCTAAAGCACTCAATTGTTTTAAAATTCATTTTGAAATAAAAAAAAACTTATTTTTAGTCTAATTTTAGGCTTTTATTTATAAGAAAAGGATTTCTCTTCTTCCACAAATACTACGTAATGATGTGCCTGTTATAATTTTATAAGTATTCATCGGAACCTTTCCGGTCTTCATCTGTTGTCAGTCGCTTGCAATCATGACGGATTTAAGGTGGAATTTGGTAATAGAAAAGGTCTAGCTGAGCTCTGAATCTTAACTTGTTCAGTTGTTATTCACGACAGACAAAACGCAACTTTGCTTGATGAAATGGGACTTTACAAACTTATTTATTTATTTCGAATGGCAGGCGTTTTGATAGTTAT